AGGGGGTGCTCAGGTTCCTAGGGCCCTTTGTGCTCTGGATAGCTTTATCTAACAGGCTTCTAAGAGTTTGTCTGAATGAAGGAATGTTACTAAAACGTTTGAAAACCTCTACGTGCCATCAGCCCATGCCACGCACACTGCTCTCACAGAGAGTGTATAAATATTTCGTCTGAGGTCTGTAAACAAGACTGCAAGAAAGTTTCACCACTTATTCCTTGGGCAACATTCAGTTAATTCAGTAATATAGGTATTGAGCATCTATTGTGTGCCTGGCACCTTGCTATGAGTTTCAGATACAGAAATAAAGAAGCTCCTGGCCCACTAGGTGGTTACAACTTACTAAGGGAGAAAGTTATGTAAATCGACAATTCAACATATTCAATGCTATGATGTGCTATGGGAGCACAGGGAAAATAGATAATCAACTCTAGAGAATTCATAAGGCTTCACAGAGGAAGTGAGACCTCAGTGTACTAGATGTGCCTGGGAAAATGTTAGGATTATCCTCTCAATTGCTGTGGAGTAACTGGAGTGAAATAGACGGCAGGGAAATTATTAAACCCTGACCAAAATTTTCCTGGGACCTAAGGTGTTCATTGTCTGGTGATTCTAAAGCCTACATCAACTAGACAAGACTGGAGTTTAAAGATAAATAGGCATGTTGGGGGGGGGCAATTCGGCAAGATAATCCTATCTTCTCAATAGAGATGGCATTTGTCACCAACTTTGACAAGAGGTTTAGTGAGTTTGTAATTGCAAATTCAGGGATAGGCTCCCTCACAGGTCAGGTGAGCTGTTTATCTTTGTATCTTCCATGCCTATGGATCACTCATGGCAAATTAGTACCTATAAATTTGATCGGAGGGATGGGTGGATAAAACAAAATCATCAGTTTTGTTACTGGCATCCATGACACGATCGAACACCAGAGGGCTTAAGATAACACTTTTAAGGATGGCGATCTCCATTATGTCACAACCGTATACACTAGACACAGGAAAAGTTCTCCTGCTCTAAGTTGTTTTTGAAGGCCATTAACAGAAATATTCGTTCCAAGGTGGTAAGCTGTGCTGGACCGAATCCCTTAGGAGACGAGAAAGCCAAAAAGCCCTCCGCATGCCATGCCTGACTACCTTACGGGCTTCCCATGACATCCCTTTTCAGAGCAACTGACACCCACTTCCTGTCCAATCAGGAAGTAAGAAAGATTTTGGCTGTTAGCGGCTCCCACGTAGAAATAACTGTAGAGTCTCCGTGCTGAAAACCTCTTCCAGCACTAGAACTCAAGATCTCCTTTCCCCTACCTCTTCGGGATTCATCTTTAGCTTATCACAGATGCTGAATGAGATAATCAGCGGCAGTAAACAGACCGTTACATTCGCTTCTACCCGGCGGACACTACAAGTCCCAGAATACAGTTCGCTCCCTTCCAAGGAAAATAGCTCACGCATCCCAACATGCAATGCGCCAACAAGCCGCGAGGATTTTTTTCTTGTCCCGCCGAAACAGAGCAAAGCATTCTGGGACTTGTAGTCCTTGAGACGTCTTTCTCTAGGTCCTCCAAGTTACTCTGCGTCCGGTACCGCCTATTCTCTGCTCCCCTGAACCTTTAGGCTAGTCTCGGCCCACTTGAAGACCAGGAAGTTGATCAAACCCCTGGCCGGCTGCTGAGAGACGGTGGCGCGAGTGGGACAGTCGCCAGGGATGGCTGACCGTGAGGATGCAGCGGGTGTCTGGGCTGTTCTCCTGGACGCTGAGCAGAGTCCTGTGGCTCTCGGGCCTCTCTGAGCCGGGAGCTGCCCGGCAGCCCCGGATCATGGAAGAGAAAGCGCTAGAGGTTTATGGTAATTAATTTTACCCAGCACAGCATTTGGCGTTATAGGTGCCGGAGGGAGGTGGGGGGTGCGGGGATGACGGCCTCACCTGAGGGCTGGGAGGGGAGACCTGTTTTGTGTGTGTGTGTGTGTGTGTGTGTGTGTGTGTGTGTGTGCCACATCTTGTCCGAAGCGTAGCAAGCGCTTTCTTCGAGGTCCTAAGCCACGCGGGAGTGGTGTTTTAGGAACTGGGCTCTTCGTAAACCTGGGGCAAGCAGACACTGGAGGTCTTAAATGCTTAATTCTCCACGTACGGCCTTACGTCTTAGAGTCTATTCCAAGATTTGTGGGCAGAGCACAAGTCTAGGGTGTTTGGTTAGAAAGCAAAGCTGGCCTGAGTGCAGTACTAGAACCTCCTCTAGCTCCTGGACACGCACTCCTGCTACCACAGAGGGCACTGGTGGGTGACAGTCGAGTTGGGGACTGGCCCAAGGTCACAGCCACTCACTCCAGCAAAATCAGTAAGCAGAGGTCCCCAAAAGAAGAGAATGAGATTGTCTTCTTGTAGCAAGGCCTTGTATACACACACTCTTCCATGTTATACATTAAATATCTTCTATTTAGCCTTTGGGGCCATCTTTATTGTACAAATGAGGAAACAAAGACTTAAAGATCTACCTAGAGGTCACACTGTCAGTAAGAAACAGAGCAAAAACTAAAGGCTATGCCTTCTGCTTCTAAACTTGATGTACTTTCCACCACTTCACAATTGTCTTACAACTTTTTTAAAAAATTATTTTGTATTGTTTTTGAAAACCAAAAATGCCGGATATAATATTGAGAGATCTAACCATAGAATACAAATATAATTCAAGTAAGAGAGGCAGAAAATTCCTTTTCAGAAAACACTTGTTGCCCTAAGTCCCATGATAACACAACTCTGTGAAAGAGAAGCTTTATCCTCTTTCTTGCCTATATTTTCAAATTCTGTTTCTTTTATTTATTATTTATTTATTCATTTTTTGAGACAGTCTCTTCCATCACCCAGTCTGGAGTGCAGTGACACAGTCTTGGCTCACTGCAGCCTCAGCCTCCCGGGTTCAAGTGATTCTCCTACCTCAGCCTCCTGAGTAGCTGGGATTACAGGCACGTGCCACCACTCCAGCTAATTTTTATATTTTTAGTAAAGACAGATTTTCGCTATGTTGGCCAAGCTGGTCTCGAACTCCTGACCACAAGTGACCCACTTGTTCAGCCTCCCAAAATGTCGAAATTACAGGCGTGAGCTACCATGCTTGACAAAATTCTGTTTCTAATTAAGTGACAAACCCAGGAGAAAATTAAAGAGAAAATAGAGTTTGTTTTTGTTTTTCCCAGTTGCATTTCTGATTGTATGTAATTTTGTGTGATAAATAATAGAACAAAACTTAAGATTATAGAACCTCAAGCACATTCTATGTAAAATTCTGCTTCTTTCTTTTCTACTTCACCATTTCTTTTTTTTTTTGAGACGAAGTCTCGTTCTTTTGCCAGGCTGGAGTGCAGTAATGGTCTCAGCTCACTGCAACAACCACTGCCCCCCAGGTTCAAGCAATTCTCCTGCTTCAGCCTCCCGAGTAGCTGGGACTACAGGCATGTGCAACCATGCCCGGCTAATTTTTGTGTTTTTAGTAGAGACGGGGTTTCACCATGTTGGCCAGGATGGTCTCGATCTCTTGACCTCATTATTTGCCTGCCTCAGCCTCCCATCACCATTTCTCTTTATTGTTGTCTTTTCCTTTATCTCTTTCTCCAGCCTCAGGGTAAGAAGGAAATCCTATTTCTCCAAGGCCAACCTAGACTCCTACATAATTAATCCCATCCCCTTCTGCTTATTTTACCAGTCTCCTCTCCTCCCTACTTATATATTCAATTTATCTTCTCAAAGCTTCCTTTATCCTTGTCATTGTTCTAGGTTCCTTATAAAGCCACTATCCTTTCTCTGTTCCTCCCTTCCCAGCCAAGACCCTAGGAAGACATTTTCAGTTCCCACTTGCTTCCCCTTTTGCAAGCTGGCTTCAGCCCTCCCCCTCTCTACTGAAATTGTTTTCTTACAGCTGACGGGGTGACAAATGAAAGACTTGTTTTAGCTGTCATCAGCCTGAATTTTTCTGCAGCATTTAATATTATTAACCATCCTTCTCTTCCCTTCTCTAGTTCTTTTTGCATTTATTTCTCATTCTGATCCCTAAATTAGGTGCTTTGCATGGATCTGTTGGGTCTGTTTTTCTTTATACCACTGATTCTCACACTGGGTTGCACCTAAGAACAACCTGAGGAGTTTTTAAAACTCAAAGGCCAGCAAACCAATTAAATCAGAGTCTCCGGAATTGGGGCCCAGGCATCAGTTTCTTTCTTTCTTTTTCTTTTTTGAGACAGTTTTTGCTTTGTTGCCCAGGCTGGAGTGCAATGACACAATCTCAGCTCGTTGTAACCTCAGCCTCCTAGGTTCAAGAGATTCTCCTGCCTCAGCCTCCCAAGTAGCTGGGATTACAGGTGTGTGCCACCATGCCCAGCCAATTTTTTTTTTTTTTTGTATTATTAGTAGAGACAGGGTTTCTCCATGTTGGTCAGGCTGGTCTCGAACTCCCAACCTCAGATTATTTGCCTGCCTCAGCTTCCAAAGTGCTGGGATTACAGGTGTGAGCCACCATGCCTGGCCTTTTTCTTTTTTTTTGAGACAGAGTCTTGTTCTGTCACTCAGGCTGGAGTGCACTGGCATGATCTTGCCTCTCATTGCAACCTCTGCCTTCTAGGCTCAAGTGATCCTCCTGAGTATTGGGGACCACTGGCCTGTATCACCCACCTGGCTAATTTTTGTGTGTATTTTTTGTATAGGTGGGGTCTCACCATGTTGCCCAGGCCGGTCTTGAACTTCGGAGCTCCCAAAGTGTGCAGATTATGGGTGTGAACCACTATGCCCAGCTACTTTCCTTCACTTTAAATGTCAAATATTGAAATGTTACCTGTGTTTCAAGGCTTGATTCACATTCCACTCCTATGAAGCCTGTTACCACATTCTTTCAAGCCGAAAGTTATTTCTTCCTCTTGAGCTTCCATGACGCTTTTTCCATTCTTGTTATATTTTCTCTGCAATGTCCAATTTGAGAAACTGGATATGGTCTTATAATAATCCAAGAAAACAGTTTTCTTACGAGGAAAGCAGTAATGAAACATTCTGTCAGAAACCTGGGAGGTGCTGTAGTATTTGCTTTAACGTAAGAGAAGTCAGTGCTTAGGCCAGGTGTGGTGGCTCACACCTGTAATCCCAGCACTTGGGAGGCTGAGGGAGTGGATCACCTGAGGTTGGGAGTTGAAGACCAGCCTGACCAACATAAAGAAACCCTTTCTCTACTAAAAATACAAAATTAGCCAGGCATGGTGGCGCATGCCTGTAATCCCAGCTACTCAGGAGCCTGAGGCAGGAGAATGGCTTGAACACAGGAGGCGGAGGTAGCGGTGAGCTGAGATTGCACCATTGCACTCCAGCCTGGGCAACAAGAATGAAACTCCGTCTCAAAAAAAAAGAGAGGAGTCAGTGCTTAAATTAGGCCTGGCAAAATCATCTTTATTTAGAGTGGTCATGTTTTAATAGACTATTTTATCTCTGATGCCTCTTTAGATTTGATTAGAACGATCCGGGACCCAGAAAAGCCCAGTACTTTAGAAGAACTGGAAGTGGTCTCGGAAAGTTGTGTGGAAGTTCAGGAGATAAATGAAGAAGAATATCTGGTTATTATCAGGTTCACGCCAACAGTACCTCATTGCTCTTTGGCGACTCTTATTGGTAAGTTTTTATGTACATATGTGTATATTTGTATGAATTCTAAATTATTCTTGCTGATATTGACCCATAATAACAACTTGCATAATTATGGAAAAACCACATGGTGTATGTATTACACTTCATGGTTTACAGAGTATTTTCCTGTATTCATCTTCTGTAGTCCTCACAGTTAGCTTGTGAATTAAAATACTGTTATTTTCATTTTGCCCATGAGGAAACTGAAGCTCAGAGAGTTTAAGTGACTTACACAGAATCAGGTAGCCAGGAAATGGTGAAACTAAGGCTCATACCTAGGTCTCTTTACTCCAAATCTGCTTCTCCTTTAGTTATGTCAGGCTACCTCTCCCAGGTTTACATGCCCACAATTAATGCAGAGTGCATGTGGGCCAGTGCCTTTTCTCAGTTCTGGAGGTTGAAGTGGGTGGTGTCAGACTAGCATTGCTGCCATCACCATCTCCTTTCAGCTATTCTACTGGCTTCTATGTAGTTTGGGCAGAAGTCCTGGTAGGAGGCTGGATTCCTAGTATTTTGGATTTGTTAGCAGGTACAATAAATGTCTTTAAACATATGACTGTTATAAAGGGATTTTATTTCAAACCAAATGTTCATGAGTAGGGGATTGATTAAATAATCAATGTAAACAATGGAATACTATGTAGCTATAAAAAAAAAGAATGAAGAAACTCTGCATGTGCTGATACGGAGAGATCTCTATGACATACTGTTAAAAAGTTAAAGTAAGGGCCGGGTGTAGTGGCTCACACCTGTAATCCCAGCACTTTGGGAGGCTGAGGCAGGCAGATCACGAGGTCAGGAGATTGAGATCATCCTGGCCAACATGGTGAAACCCCATCCCTACTAAAAATATAAAAATTAGCTGGGCGTGGTGACACATGCCTGTAATCCCAGCTACCTGGGAGGCTGAGGCAGGTGAATCACTTGAACCAGGGAGTTGGAGGTTGTAGTGAGCCAAGATCACGCCACTGCACTCCAGCCTGGCGACAGAGTGGGACTCCGTCTCCAAAAAAAAAAAAATAAAAGAAGTAAAAGCAAGTATCATTTTGCTTTTATTTGTGTAAAAAAAAGGCAAAAAAATACATTTTTATTTGATTGCATATACCTGAATAATATTAATACATAAATGAATAGTTATAATGGTATTAGTGGGTAGTAGTGGTGGTGGGAGCTGAGCGGTAGCCGAGGTCGTGCCATTGCACTGCAGCCTGGGCGACAGAGTGAGACTCCATCTCAAAAAAAGAAACCAAAAAAAACCCCCAAAATTAGTCGGGTGTGGTGGTATGCTTCTATAGTCCCAGCTACTCAGGAGGCTGAGACAGGAGAATCTCTTGAACCTGGGAGGTGGAGGTTGAAGTGAGCCAAGATCACGCCACTGCACTCCGGCCTGGATGACAGAGCAAGACTCTGTCTCAAAAAAATAATTAAGTAAATACAGCTCGGCATGGTGGCTCATGCCTGTAATCCCAGCACTTTGGGAGGCTGAGGCAGGTGGATTGCCTGAGCTCCGGAGTTCGAGACCAGCCTGGGCAACACGATGAAACCCCATCTCTACTAAAACAAAAAATTAGCCGGGCATGGCAGCATGTGCCTGTAGTCCCAGCTACTCAGGAGGCTGAGGCAAGAGAATTGCTTCAACCCGGGAGATGGAGGTTACAGTGAGCCCAGAGCACGCACTGCACTCCAGCCTGGGCGACAGAATGAGACTTCGTCTCAATAAATACATACCTACATACATACCGACCCTGTGGCAGCCACCACCTCATTATATCTCATCTAATCCTTTTCCGTATTTGGGGATTTTTCAAAAAATTCTCTTAGAAAACCAAATGGTACTTAGAAAACCAAAAACAAGTGAACACCTTCCTAAAAGATAGGTAGTCTAACAATTATATCTTGTTGTGTTGTGCTGTGGTTTGAGATTTTGTTGTTGATGTGTCTTAGCATGGGATGATAAACTGAACTTCAGTGGAACTTGTTTTAAAGAAATTGCTCTATTTGTACCTTGCAGGCATAAAGGATTACAAATTTGAGAGGCTTTTTGTGGCCCTTTTCAAATGACTTTTTCTTGGTTTTAATTTTTGGGTGGCCTGGCCTGTTGTGGGGCATTTAAAAAAGTTTAATGAATTGACAGGACACGGTGGCTCACCCCTGTAATCCCAGCGCTTTGGGAGGCCGAGATGGGTGGATCACTTGAGGTCAGGAGTTTGAGACCAGCCTGGCCAACATGGTGAAACCCCATCTCTACCAAAAATATAAAAAATTAACTGGCCAGGTGCAGTGGCTCATGCCTGTAATTATAGCACTTTGGGAGGCCAAGGTGGGCAGATCATCTGAGCTTGGGAATTCAAGACCAGCCTGACCAATATAGAGAAACTGTCCCTACTAAAAATACAAAATTAGCCAGACATGGTGGCACATGCCTGTAATTCCGGCTACTTGGGAGGCTGAGGCAGGAGAATAGCTCGATCCCAGGAAGCAGAGGTTGCAGGGAGCCGAGATTGCACCATTGCACTCCAGACTGGGCAACAAGAGCGAAACTCCATCTCAAAAAAATAAATAAATAAATAACTGGTTGTGGTGGTGTGTGCCTTTAATCCCAACTACTTGGGAGGCTGAGGCAGGAGAATTGCTTGAACTGAGAGGCGGAAGTTGCAGTGAGCCGAGATCGCGCCACTGCACTCCAGCCTGGAGAACAGAGTGAGACTCCATCTCAAAAAAAAAAAAAAAAAGTTTACTGAATTAATTGACTTTTGCTGGAAGGCGAACTGATGTAGTAAAAGTGGCCTGGGCTTTCCAGTGGTCTTAGGTTCCAATCCCAAATCTGCCACTATAGTAACTCAGTGACCTTGAGGAAGTTACATTGTGACCTTGGTTTAATAATGTGTAGAAGGGGGTTAGTAATAGCTCATTGGATTATCCTAAGGAATATGTAAGATTACATGTTAAATTTTTTAGTGTGGTTTCAGGCTTAAAGGAGCTCTGCTTTGGATTGAGCCAAAGCTGTTTCCAGCGACTGTGTTGTTTGGGGGTTCATAAACACAGCTGTATGCTTTTTCAAGAACCAGTAAGAAGCAATAAAGAGATAATTGGAGGTGGTTTTTTCTTCTCCCTCCACAGGGCTATGCTTAAGAGTAAAACTTCAGCGATGTTTACCATTTAAACATAAGGTAAGGAAGATGTGTTTTTGTTGTCATAAAACAGCTTTGTACCCTATCTGCTTGGAATTCCCTCCTTCCCATCTCATATGTTCAAATACCACACACCACACAATTCACCTATGCAAAGTGTACCAGTTCAGTGGTTTTTGCTTGTCCGTTACTCAGTTGCTTATTGGTTATTCAGTTGATAGGCATTTAGGTGGTTTCTACTTTTTGTGTATTATGAGTAATACTGCTATAAACATTAATGTATAACTTTTTGTGTAGGCATATAAAACATTTCTTTTCTACCTGGGAGTGGAATTGCCTGGTTGTATGGTAACTCTGTGTTTAACATTTTGAGAAATTGTTTGTCTTCCACAGCCACTGCACCATTCTGCATTCCTACCAGCAGTGTATGAGGGTTCCCATTTCTCCATGCCCTTGCTAACACTTATTATTATCCTTGTACAGCCATCCTAGTGGGTGTGAAGTAATATCTCATAGTGTTTTTTTGTTTGTTTTTGAGACAGAGTCTTGATCTGTCGCCCAGGCTGGAGTGCAATGGCATAATCTTGGCTCAGTGCAACCTCTGCCTTCTGGGTTCAAGCGATTCTCATGCTTCAGCCTCCCAAGCAGCTGGGATTATAAGCATGTACCACCATTCTGGCTAATTTTTTTTGTATTGTTAGTAGAGACAGGGTTTCACCATGTTGGCCAGGATGGTCTTGAACTCTTGGCCTCAATTGATCCGCCTGCCTCGGCCACCTCAAAGTGCTGGGATTACAGGTGTTAGCCACCAAACCCTGCTGTCATGGTGGTTTTGATTTGCATTTCCCTGATGGCTAATAATGTTGAGCACCTTTTTATGTGCTTTTCGGCCATTTGTATATCTTTGGAGAGCTGTCTATTCAGATCCTTTGCTCATTTTAAAATAAGGATGTCTTATTTTTTCATTTATTTTTATTTTATTTTATTTTGGGACAGAGTCTCACTCTGTCACTAGGTTGGAGTGCAGTGGCATGATCTCAGCTTACTGCAACTTCTGCCTCCCAGGTTAAAGTGATTCTCCTGCCTCAACCTCCCGAGAAGTTGGGATCACAGGCATGTACCACCATACCCAGCTAATTTTTGTATTTTTAGTAGACGGGATTTCCCCATGTTGGCCAGTATGATCTCAATCTCAACCTTGTGATTCTCCCGGCTTGGCCTCCCAAAGTGCTGGGATTATAGGCGTGAGCCATTGTATCCAGCCCTATTTTTATTTTTAGAGTCTCACTCTGTTGCCAGGCTGGAGTGCAGTGGTGTGATCTCAGCTCACTGCAACATCCGCCTCCCGCATTCAAGTGGTTCTCCTGCCTCAGCCTCCCAAGTAGCTGGGACTGAGCGCCCACCACCACACCTGGCTAATTTTTGTGTTTTTAGTAAAAACGGGGTTTCACCATGTTGGCCAGGATTGTCTCTGTCCTGACCTTGTTATCCACCGGCCTCGGCCTCCCAAAGTGCTGGGATTATAGGCGTGAGCCACCACACCTGGCCAAAAGTTTTAAATTTTGATAAAGTCTAATTTGTTTTTAATTTTTTTACTTGTGCTTTCGGTGTGATATCTAAGGAAGATGTTTTTAACCTTACTATTGGGCAAGAATATGGATATCACAGTTAATTCATGGTAATTGGCTATAGCTCATGGATGATTCAGCCTTGTCCCTTACTGTCTCCTGTAATTGCCTTCTCTACCTTGCTTTACCTAGCCTTTACACAGAGTTACCTATCTACTTGGATTTCCCTTCCTCCCATCTCATACGTTCAAATCCTACACATCTTTTTTGTTTGGTGTTGAGACAGAGCCTTGCTCTTCCAGGCCGGAGTTCAGTGGTGTGATCACTGCTTACTGCAGCCTCAATCTCCCAGGGTCAAGTGATCCTCCCATCCCAGCCTCCCAAGTAGCTGGGATTACAGGTGCGCCACCATGCCTGGCTAATTTGTTCTTAATTTTTGGTAGAGATGAGGTCTCTCTTTGTTGCCCAAGCTAGTCTCAAACTTCTGGGCTCAAATGATTGTCTTGTCGTAGCCTCCCAAAGTGTGGGATTACAGGCATGAACCACTGTGCCTGGCCAAATTCTACACTTGTTTTAAGGCTTAATTAATTACTTTTTTATTTTCCATGATGTCAGTTCTGATTTCTTTCTCTTTTTTAAAATTAATTTTGATTTATCTTTTAAAAATTTTTTCTCTTTTTTTAATCTTTATTTTTTGTATTTACCTTTCCATACTACCAGTCCTGATTTCTTTTCTTTTTTTTTTTTTTTTTTTTGAGACGGAGTTTCACTCTTGTTACCCAGGCTGGAGTGCAATGGCGCGATCTCGGCTCACCGCAACCTCCGCCCCCTGGGTTCAGGCAATTCTCCTGCCTCCCAAGTAGCTGGGACTACAGGCGCGTGCCACCGTGCTCAGCTAATTTTTTTTTTGTATGTTTACTAGAGAGACAGGGTTTCACCATGTTGCCCAGGATGGTCTCGATCTCTTGACCTCGTGATCCACCCGCCTCGGCCTCCCAAAGTGCTGGTATTATAGGTGTGAGCCACTGCGCCCGGCCTACCAGTCCTGATTTCTATAACAAAAGCTATTTATTTTTTTGAATTCCCATAGCTTGGCCCCATAGCTCTTTCTTTGTCTTCTGATGTAGAGAGTATCATTTTCTAACTTGTATTCTATTTATTTTTCATCTTCCCTCCTGGACTGTCAGCATTTTTTTTTTTTTTTTGAGACGGAGTTTTGCTCTGTCACCCAGGCTGGAATGCAGTGGTGCTATCTTGGCTCACTGCAGCCTCCGCCTCCCAGGTTCAAGAGATTCTCTTGCCTCAGCCTCCCAAGTAGCTGGGATTACAGGCACATGCCACCATGCCTGGCTAAATTTTTGTATTTTTATTAGGGATGGGTCTTTGCCATGTTGGCCAGGCTGGTCTCAAACTCCTGACCTCAAGTGATCCACCCAGCTCAGCCTCCCAGAGAGCTAGGATCACAGGCATGAGCTACCATGCCTGACCAATTGTCAGCTTCTTGAGGTCAAAATTCATATATGGTACATCTCTGTGTCCCTGCTTATACATAAGCAGGAGCTCAATAAATATGTCTTAAATTGAGTAAATTGATGAATTATACTAGTGGTTTATGATGCCCTGTAAATTTTATTCTGTTTTCCATTTTTAACTGTTTTAATTATAATGTTTAACTTTTTATTTGGAGTGAAAATAATGAAACGAAATAAATAAAATAGTGAAGAACAGTACAAAGAAATTCCATATATCCTTCACCCAGATTCAGATTCACTAATTGTTAACATTTTGCCATATTTGCTTTATCATTAATTTCTCTTCATATATGTACACACACACACACACACACACACATTTTTTGGAAACATTTGAGTACAAATGTAATGCCCCCTTACTCTAAATACTATAGGATGTATTTCCTGAAAACAAGGACATTCTCTTACATTACTACAGTTCAAATTTCAAAACCAGGACATTGATACATACTGGCATCTAATCTGTAGCATGTATTCAAATTTCCCCTGTCATCCAGTAATATCCTTCACGGCGGTCCCTCCTCCTGTCTCTTCTCCATCACACATTGCATTGGTTGTCATGTCTCTTTAGTCTCGTTTAATTTGGAGTAGTTCCTTAGCCTTTGTCTTTCATAATCTTGATATTTTTGAAGAATGTAGACCAGATATTTTATAGATTGTCCTTCAAATAGAGTTTCCTGATGTTTCCTGGTTAGATTCAGGTTATGCGTTTTAGGCAAGAATACCAAATAAATTTGTCCTCATTGCATCACATCAGATGCCTATAAATTCAGTTTGTCCCATTATTGGTGACAGCTACCCTCACCAACTGTTTGGTTACCCTGAGGTATAGGTCCTATAGGAATAGCTGCATAAATGCTGCTTCCTCCCCTTTACCGTTTTTAGAATAATGAGTCCTGTATAATTTTAAACTGAAGTAAATCAGTATAGAGTGATTCTATGTCTGTTGCTTTGAGGTCTAGAATAAGAGTGTTTTGCCACTAGGGGAAAGGTGTTTTTGTTTTGTTTTGTTTTGTTTTTAAATAGATTGGGGCCAGGTGCATTGGCTCATGCCTATAATTTCAGTACTTTGGGAGGCCAAGATAGGCAGATCACTTGAGCTCAGGAATTCAAGCCCAGCTTGAGCAATATGGCGAAACCCTATCTCTACAAAAAAATAGAGATGGGGATGGAGAGAGGTGGGAGTGTGGGAACTGAGGTGGGAGGATCACCTGAGCCCAGGAAGTCGAGGCTGTCATGAGCCAAGATCGTGCCATGATCTTTAAGGTTCCGTTTAGCTATAATAATAAGTTATGATTTTTCTCATGAGAAATATTTATCTCAGTAGTAAATAAGTAAATACAAATTAGTTCATATGTTTCAATGTTCTCTGGAAAGTAGAAGTCTTTATGACAGCATACTCTTTCTACCACAGGATTTGCAATAATTTTGTAGGTTGTCTCTAAAGCTCTGGGTCTTGGAGGGTAGCTCATGTGTAGGGGTGCAGCAGGGCCAGAAGGGGTAGCTTAACCAGTATCATACTTGAGAATAAATTTAGCAAGATAATAATGAATGAGAAAAGGAGGATGCTAAAAGCTGTGTATCGTGATCCCATTTTTGTAAAACGAGCAATGTAAAGAAACATCCAACTTTGGTATTTGGGTGTGTGTGTGTAAAATCTGTGTTAGATTATGTGGGTAGAGAACAATATGGAAGAAACTACACTAGATTGTTATTGTAGATTTCCTGAGTCAGTGGCAGGGCAGGAGGAAGTTTAGATACTGAGTTGGGAAGAAGTAAAGTGCAGAAGAGAGATATTCTTAAGTAAAACAACATGTATGAGATCTTATTTGTGTAAAACAGTATTTTTGTGTATTCATTAAAAAAAAAAATTTCAGGCCGGGCGCGGTGGCTCAAGCCTGTAATCCCAGCACTTTGGGAGGCTGAGGCGGGTGGATCACGAGGTCAAGAGATTGAGACCATCCTGGCCAACACGGTGAAACCCCGTCTCTACTAAAACTACAAAAAATTAGCTGTGCATGGTGGCGCGTGCCTGTAGTCCCAGCTACTCGGGAGGCTGAGGCAGGAGAATTGCCTGAACCCAGGAGGCGGAGGTTGCGGTGAGCCGAGATCGCGCCATTGCACTCCAGCCTGGGTAACAAGAGCGAAACTCCATCTCAAAAAAAAAAAATTTCTACCTTGGGAAAGAATTAAAAAAAAAATTAATGGAAGTACCACCTGTAGGCCATTCCTAGGTGACCAAAATAAAAAATCCTACTCATTTCAGCCCTTGTTTTAGAGAAGGATATGGAGGATTCGTCCCTAAGTCTCTGATGTTAGAAACAGGATTGGGGGGTGCCAGTCATGTTGGCTCATGCCTGTAATCCCAACACTTTGGGAGGCTGAGGTGGGTGGATTACTAGAGGTCAGGAGTTTGAGACCGGTGTGGCCAACATGGTGAAACTCTATCCCTACTAAAAAAAAAAAAAATACAAAAATTAGCTGAGCATGGTGGTGTGCGCCTGTAATTCCAGCTACTTGGGAGGCTGAGGGCTGAGGGAAGAGACTCGCTTGAACCCAGGAGGTGGAGGTTGCCGTGAGCTGAGGTTGCGCTGCTATACTCTATCCTGAGTGACAGAATGAGACTCCATCTCAAAAAAAAAAAAAAAAAAAAAAAAAAAAGGCCGGGCACAGTGGCTCATGCCTGTAATCCCAGCACTTTGGAAGGCCAAGGAATGTGGATTATGAGGTCAGGAGATCAAGACCATCCTGGCCAGCATGGTGAAATCTCGTCTCTACTAAAATACAAAAAAAAATTAGCCAGGCGTGGTTGTACGTGCCTGTAGTCCCACCTATTCAGTAGGCTGAAGCAGGGGAATTGCTTGAACCTGGGAGGTGGAGATTGCAGTGAGCCGAGATCCTGCCATTGCACTCCAGCTTGGTGAACACAGCAAGACTCCCGGTTTTGGACCCTCATCCCTAGATGTTTGATTCACTATACATTCCACTTCACCCTCTCATCTTAGAATGCTCTAATGTTTTTTCTTTGACTTTCTTTTTCCCTTTCTAGTTGGAAATCTACATTTCTGAAGGAACCCACTCAACAGAAGAAGACAGTAAGTGACGTTGAAATATAATTGAAAAACAACTTCAGATAGTATTTTTTCTTGGATATTGGATTCTTCTACCAGCCAAGTATCTACTGGGTTACTTTAAAAAAAAAAAGTACACAATTAGTTATTAGCTCTTCTTTCCTAGGTAGAGAAACCTAGGCATTTCAGGGAAGGAATTTTTGCAGTGGGACTCCGAGTGCATTAGAGCTCATGGGTGTTGACTGGTTTAGGCCAGAGGCTAGCTACACATCTGTAAATATCCAGCTCTAGGGACCTTGACTTATGAGCTCTAAGTAGGCTGCTTTTCTTTGGTGGCAGGATAAGAGAGCTGTGTACTTGAAATTGGGTCTAGCAAGCAGAGCTTTAGTGAGCCTTGGGGTAGGTGCTGTCTCTCTGGGTTAGTATATTAGAACGGGGGTAGAGAAACTTTTTTATATACAGAACCTCTGGCCTACAGAGAGAAGTCACTCAGTAGCTACTTAAAAATGGCCGAAGTGGGGTTTGGGAAAAGCAAAAGACAAAACGTTCTTTTTTTTTTTTTTTTTTTTTTTTTTTGAGACGGAGTTTCACTCTTGTTACGCAGGCTGGAGTGCAATGGCGCCATCTCGGCTTACCGCAACCTCCGCCTCCTGGGTTCAGGCAATTCTCCTGCCTCAGCCTCCTGAGTAGCTGGGATTACAGGCACGCGCCACCATGCCCAGCTAATGTTTTTTGTATTTTTAGTAGAGACGGGGTTTCACCATGTTGACCAGGATGGTCTCGATCTCTTGACCTCGTGATCCACCCGTCTCGGCCTCCCAAAGTGCTGGGATTACAGGCTTGAGCCACCGCGCCTGGCGACAAAACGTTCTGTATGATCCATGTGTTAAATTAAAAACAGAATTTCAATGTTTTAAATCTACAAATGATAGAGCGCAAGTAATGAGAAATACATTTAAAAGGCATTTGTACGTAAGTTTCATCAGCGGAATGGAAGAAAGAGATGATTGATAATGGAGTAAGAGAAACAGTCAGATAGATACCCAGAAGACTCAGAAAGGCATACCCAGGGCTGGAGAAAGACACACAAAATCTCCTACATAGATGAGAGCTGTAGAGAGGGAAGCAGGGAACCCTGCTGCTTCCAGAGGAATAGCCCATCCAGGAAACTTTTTAGGTTACTGTCATGAAAACTGTTAAAATCATGTCCTAGCTATAGTTTCAGACATGTAGATTATTACACTCTTTGTGGGCTAAATTTCTTTCTTTTTTTTTTTTTTTTTGAGACAGAGTCTTGCTCTGTTGCCCAGGCTGGAGTGCACTGGCATGATGTCACCTCACTGCAACCGCAATCTCCACCTTCTGGGTTCAAGCAATTCTCCTGCCTCAGCCTCCCAAGTAGCTGGGACTACAGGCATGCACCACCACATCCAGCTAATTTTTGTATTTTTAGTAGAGATGGGGTTTCACCATGTTGGCCAGGCTGGTCTAGAACTCCTGACCTCGTGATCCGCCCACCTCAGCCTCCCAAGGTGCTGGGATTACAGGCATGGGCCACCACACAATGAGCTAAATTTCTTTAAACCCCATGAGCTGAGGGCTTCTACCTCTGATTAAAAAAATAAGAGTTTAGGTACCCTAAATCCACTCAGGCTATCCTTTTGAAATTCCTCAAATTATAGGATTTTACAACAGCAATAGTATTAAGTCTTATGATTCCTGTTTTTCGTTTAGTAAATATTTACTAAGAGCCTTCTATGTGTGGGTACAGTTCAACTTTTGAGATATATTCCTGCCTTTGTGGAGCCTACATTGTAGTAAGAAGAAACTGAATTGAAATTATTTACACAGGAATATGTAATGTGTATGTGTGTTTGTCTTCTATATGAGACATTTTAGCAGCATCCCAGAAAAGTCAATCCACATTAAAAATATGGATGTCTCTCTTTTGAACTCTTCTGTTAAGAGTGCTGTTAGCTAATTATAGAAAACGTAATGGGACAATACCTTTATTATATGAAGAGCCATTCAAACTAATTATTAAAAAAGATCTGGTAGATTAATAGAGACATGCACAGGAAATTCATGCAAGAACTAATATATACACATTGAAAATGTTCTATTTTCCTATTAGACAAGGACATGCAAATTATAACAATAATATTGAACCATTTACCACCTCCTATTTTATGAATGTTTATATGTATATTTGTTTTTATTAAGTAATGGCAGCTATTGCCTGGGCATGATGGTTCACACCTATAACCCTAGCACTTTGGAGGCCAACACAAGAGAATGCCTTGAGGCCAGGGGTTTGAGGCCGGGATTTCAAGACTAGCCTGGACAACATAGTGAGACCCTGCCTCTACAAAAAAAATTTGAAAATTAGCCGGGTGTGATGGCTCATGCCTGTGGGAGGCTGAGGCAGGAGGATTTCTTGATCCCAGGAGTTGGAGGTTACAGTGAGCTATGATTGTACCACTGTCTCAAAGAATAATAATAATAATAGTACCAGGTATTGCTGCCAAATTGATAGCTCATATATTGACGTTGACAATGTAAATTGGTGAGTAATTTTGGGAAGTAAATCAATGATATAAATCAAACCATAAAAATATTCATATTCTTGGGCATACGTCTGTAGTCCCAGCACTTCGGGAGGCCAAGGCGGGTGAATCACGAGGTCAGGAGTTTGAGACCCACGTGGTCGATATGGTGAAACCTTGTCTCTCCTAAAAAATACAAAAATTAGCTGGGTGTGGTGGTGTGTGTCTGTGGTTCCTGCTACTCAGGAGGCTGAAGCAGGAGAATCACTTGAACCTGGGAGGTGGGGGTTACAGTGAGCTGCGATCGTGCCACTGCACTCCAGCCTGGGCAACAGAGTGAGATTCCATCTCAAAAAAAAAAGAAAAATCCCATTTTTGAGAATATTTCCAAAAAGAAGGCTATATGTTTAAAGGTGTTCATTGTAGTACAGTCTTCATAATTAGTTTAGAACACTTAAGACTTTTACCATGTTAAATAACCCTGTAGATTAAAATATAAGCTTATGGGGAAAAAACCCAGTGATTTTCAAAATTGTATTTACTCTGAATGTAACTGTATAAAGATATGTATATGGACAAAGACTAGAAAGATGATTACCACTAGATGTGGTAAGTAGTAGAATTATAGTAGACATTTTTCTCTTAAGTCTGCCTTCTAGATGAGAAATTATGAGTAATTAGCCAAAAATGACTTCAAGTTCTCAAGGAGTTAAATTTTTTGTTTCAGCAGGCTAATAAAAAATACTGTCTGGTGCTGTATATTGACACAGTTCTTCTGCTAACTTTTGTCTGTGTATTTTTCAGTCAATAAGCAGATAAATGACAAAGAGCGAGTGGCAGCTGCAATGGAAAACCCCAATTTACGGGAAATTGTGGAACAATGTGTCCTTGAACCTGACTGATAGCTGCTTTAAGAGCCACTGGCCTGTCACTGTTTGATATATTTGTTTAAACTCTTTGTATAATGTCAAAGACTCTCGTTTAATACATAGGTGATTTGGTACCTCAGAGCATTTTTTAAAGGATTCTTTCCAAGCAAGATTTAATTATAAGGTAGTACCTAATTTGTTCAGTGTATAACATTCTCAGGATTTGTAACACTTAAATGATCAGACAGAATAATATTTTCTAGTTATTACATTTAAGATGAGTTGCTATATTTCTTATGCTCAGTCTGATACAACTGCTTTTCATGTCAAATATCTACTGTGCCCAAATGTACTCAATTTAAATCATTACTCTGTAAAATAAATAAGCAGATGATTCTTGTAATGACTCACTGTTTTTATTGAATTGTAAATTCCAGTGTAAATGTTAACTCCTGAAAGATATCTTCAAAGCTTTATTTTTGCTGATTATTTTGTAGAATCAGAGATCTGAGAACCAAAAGGCATCCTTAAGATTGGGCCTACCTTCCTTCCAAGGAGAATCCTGGACCCCTTCATAGATAAGGAACAAATGTGGAGAGGGCCAGATGGCAATCACAATTTTGAAGATCAAGAAGTCCATCAAAGAGGTTTTGATTAAACCAACCTGAATGTATGGCCTTCACTGTATTTGTAGTTCATTTGGTTTGTTTTAGGGGTAAATGGTCATGTGAAGTATAGCAGCCTCCAACATGGGCCCCTCACTTCCTGGTATTCACGCCCTTGTAGAATTGCCTTCCATATTGAATTAGGGCTGATGGGTGTGATTAATAAAGAATGGCAGAAGTGACAGTAGTTGACTTCTGAGGCTAGATCATAAAAGGTATTGCTGCTTTTACCTTAGTCTCTTGGATTGCTCATTCTGTGGGGATCCAGTCACTATGTCATGAGAACTCCTGTGGAGAATTCCACATGGAGTGCAACTGAGGCCTCCCAACAACAACCAGTGCCAATTTGCAAACCATGTGAGTAAACTCCTGAGCCAGAACTGCCTAGCTTCCAAATTCTGGACTCAGGCACTTTCTTGGGTGCTGAGGACACAGAGATAAATCAGCCATTGTTTGTCCTCCTGGAGTTCATACTTATCACCTTACACCTGCAGCTTCTGTCTGCTCCAGGCAGTGAGTGATTGAGCCTGTCTTACCTAGTGCCTGAGCTAGTTCTGGCCAAGTGGAAACAGAAGCCAGGCAGCAGGACCAAAGACAAAACTTTGCCTTAGGAAGTGTCTAGTGAGGGTGCTACTGATGTGCAACTCCAAGTGGATCATTGCTAGAGGAGTCACCTGAATTGCTGGCCGTGCCGCTCCTGTAAGCTAGATGTGTCTTCTGTTTTCTCCACTACTACCAGAATGATTTCTCTTTTTTGTGTGACTCACTCCAGCTTCCTAGTCCTAGGTGAGATCTCTAGTCGGCTGATCTCAAGTCACATGTCCATGTCCTGGCTGCCAAGAAGGCAGGAGAAAAGGTAATGTGATCTTTGATGTGGGGAGGTGGACTCTGTCCCCCAGCAAGACTCACATGGTAGGAATTCTATAACAGAGTGAGAAGGTTAAAAAAACTAATGACTACTACATGAATTATCTTAGAATGAATTTGGCTGGGTGCTCATGCCTGTAATTCCAGCACTTTGGGAGGCCAAGGCAGGCGGATCACGAGGTCAGGAGATCAAGATCATCCTGGCCAACATCGTGAAACCCTGTCTCTACTAAAAATACAAAAATGAGTCGGGTGTGGTAGTGCACACGTATATTCCCAGTACTTGGGAGACTGAGGTAGGAGAATTGCTTGAACACGGGAGGCAGAGATTGCAGTGAGCCAAGATCATGCCACTGCATTCCAGCCTGGTGACAGAGCAAGATTCCATCTCAAAAAAAAAAAAATTTTAAACTTTATTAATCATAATGACATCTACACCGAAGTAAATAATAGAGGTACGTATATAGTCACAAGATGTGTTATCTAGTCCATCTTTGGCAAGGGTTAGTAAACATTTTTGGAAAAGGGCCACATAGGCAATATTTTAGGCTTTTCAAGCCATATGCTCTGTTGTAACTATTCAACTCTGCCCTCATAACACAAAAGCAGCTGACGGTCTGTAAACCAATAAGCATGATTGCACTCCAAGAAAACTTTTTGGACACAGATTTGAGATTTGAATTTCATATAATTTTCATGTGTCATGAATTATTATTTTCCTTTTGATTGTTTCAACCATTTAAAAATATAAAAACCTTGGCTTGTGGGTTGTACAAAATCCAGCATTGAGCTAGATTTGGCCTGTGTGCTGTTAGCAAACTCCTGATTTATAAGAACGATCATTCTTTGTGGAAAGTCAGACCAGTTGGAAAATCAGATAAAAGATGTGGAATGGGCCCTCTCCCTAGGGGGAAAAAGGCACTCACATGAAACTTTGTGTATGACTTCAGGACATTCACAGACTTGCTTAGGAGCCAGTGGACCCCAGGTTAATAACTGCTTTAGAAGTAATGCTGGCTGAACATTGGGCTTCCCCCTCCTTTAATAACCCCCCCGAGTCCTGAGGGTTCACAGCTTTGGCTGGGACTGTAGGGGCAGAAGGAAGTGAAACCTTTCCTCACCCATTATAAAGGTCATGGCCAGCACCCCTGTGAAAAAAGATAGGATAACAAGAGAAAAGCATAGCAAATGTAGTCAATCCAAGTTTTATGTGACTCAGCAGGCTTCAGATATGAAGAATCCAAAGACCCAGGGAAAACTATTTTTCTGCTTAGGTACCACGGCATTCCAGCTTGGGTGACAGAGTGAGATCATGTCTCAAAAAAAAAAAATATATATATATATATATGAAGACTGGACAACTGTATAGAAATGTCATTGGACAAAAAGAGTATGATCTGATAATAATGGACCAAGTAGGGAAACCCAGCAAGGCCTGTCCAGATTCTTCCTGGCCTTTCTGTGCAGCATTCCTTCCTCCTGGGTATGGGGCAGAACCCCTCTGGAATGAGAGTCTTATGACCTACTGTTAGATAAGGTAGGTCAGATAATTTCTTTATGGCCAGCTCATGCACAGAAGGGCGGGGGAAAGTTAGAGTAATATTTCTAGGTTTTATAGCTTGCTTTTTTGTTGTTACTGTTTTTGTTTTTGAGACGGTCTCGCCCTGCTGCCAAGGCTGGAGTGTGATGGTGCAATCATGGCTCACAGCAGCCTCAACCTCCCAGGCTCAAGCGATCCTCCCTCTCCATGGAGCCTCCCAAGTAGCTGGGACCACAGGTGCATGCCACCATGCCCAGCTAATTTTTTCTTTTGTTGTTGTTATTTATTTATTTTTTTTGTAGAGATGGGATTTTGCCATGTTTCTCAGACTGGTATGGCTTGTTTTGGAAAGATATTCTGGTTTCTATTACCTCCCTCGGGGAAAAGAAATTCTGTTTTCTGTGACTCCCTTTGGAGGAGAAAGGGGCAGGAAGAGAGGAGGGCAGGATATGGGAAGAGAGAGTCTTTGCTTTTGAGGCTGCTCCTGAGGCTTCCTATTTTCCTTTAATTCACAGTATGCCAAGGAGCCATATTTTGGGTTATTGCTTTCTGATCCCCAGCAGGAGCCACTACCTTCTTGGTTTTTTTTTTTTTTTTTTTTTTGAGACAGGGTCTCTCTCTGTCACCCCAGCTGGAGTGCAAGGCATGATCAGGGCTCACTGCAAGTCTCAAACTACTGGGCTCAAGCAATTGTCCCAGCTCAGCCTCCCAAGAAGCTGGGACTACAGACAAGAGCTACCATGCCCAGCTAATTATTTATCCACTACTTTCTTAGACCATAACAAATAATCTAGACTCTTTCCCAGCTCCACTATGAACCAACTGCTTTGCTACCCAAACTGCAGATGTGTCCAGCAGGACACAATTAACTGTAGTTAGTGGGGGCAGGTTTACTCTAGGAAGGGGCAGGATTGCTGTAAAAATCTCAGTGCATTCATATCCCACTTGGTTTTCCGCATGTGTTAATAACAATGGTAGAAAACAAGCCAGTGAACTGTCAGGGTTCAAACTCATTACTGATGCGCCACTACTATGAAAACTTTTTTTTTTTGAGACAAAGTCTTGCTCTGTCACCTAGGCTGGAGTACAGTGTCACGATCATGGCTCTACCTGCCAGCCTCAATCTATCCACCCACCTCAGCCTCCTGAGTAGCTGGGACTACAGATTCATGCTACCAAAGCTAACTAATTTTTAAATTTCTTGTAGAGATGAGGTCTCACCAGGGGGTCTCAAACTCCTGGGCTCAAGCGATCCTCCCACTTTGGTTTTCCAAAGTGCTGGGATTAAAGGCGTGAGTCAGCTGGGCACTGTGGCTCACACTTGTAATCTCAGTACTTTGGAAGTACCAGGCAGGCAGATCACAAGGTCAGGAGTTTGAGAGCAGCCTGGCCAATATGGTGAAACCCCATCTCTACTAAAAATACAGAAACTAGCCAGGTGTGGTGGTGGGCGCCTGTAGTCCCAGCTACTTGGTAGGCTAAGGTAGAGAATTGCTTAAATCCAGGAGGTGGAGGTTGCAGTGAGCCGAGATCATACCACTGCACTCCAGCCTGGGCAACAGAGCAAGACTCTAAGGACTAAAAAAAAAAAAAAAAAAAAGACATGAATCACTGCACCCAACCACATTATTTCTGACATCTTTTTGTATATATGAAATATTTTGCAAGTAAAGATTTTTCCCAAAAACTCCATTGGATTTAGCCTGAGCTGGTGGTTGTCCATGACTCCGATTAGACTGCTATAGGGCATGGGTGAACCCAGTTCTGGTATGGGCTTCTTTGGGGCAGATGTACTGGGTGTGGGGAGGATATTGCTGTATGGGCTGTGAGGTTCTCTCCAAGTACATCACATAGACCCTCGATCCTCCTCACAAAGGATGTGGTCAAGAGTACCGACTCTGGTGCCAAACTGCCATTTTGTCCTAATCCACTACTCAGTCAGTAGCTGTGTGACTTTGGGCAAGTTAGCTAGCCTCTCTGTATTTTAGTTCCCTCATTTGTAAAACGGGGATGATAAAATTACCTATTTCATGGGGCCCTTATGAGGACTAAAAAAGGGAAAGCTTGTACAGTGCTGAGCACAATGCGTGGAACCTAGTAAATGCTTTATTAGTTTTTTTTGTTTGTTTGTTTCTTAAACAGAACACCTGTTTTTTGTTTGTTTGTTTCTTTGTTGAGACGGAGTTTCACTCTGCCGCCAGGCGCCAGGCTGGAGTGCAGTGGCCCAATCTCGGCTCACTGCAACCTCCGACTCCCGGGTTCAAGCAATTCTCCTGCCTCAGCCTCCCGAGTAGCTGGGACTACAGGCCCACGCCACCACGCCCAGC